TCCTTTACCCAGATCTGTAACTACCATGCACAGGACCTCTGCCTGTTGGTTCTATTTCTACAATAAAGCTACTGTGGGACAGGAACGCTGAGTCCGAAAGGGAAGCTGAAGGGTGCTACTGGGCGGTGTTTGTCTCTAGGATGACCTGCATGCCATGCTGTGCCTCCTGGAACCATCTGGGCGCATTATTACTCAAGTTAGTCATCAAGATCCATGTTACACATGTGCATACCTCACAACATGCTCGATGGACCACAGGACTGTACAAGAAGAATACCAATGAAGCATTTCTACAGGAAAAAGGTTTTCAGGTGCTAAGCCAATGCTTAAACAAACTTAGAAATCCAGTTGTATAAGTAAAGAAACAACAGAATCCTAGAATTCTATAAAAAAAGAAAAAAGCAGATCTGGAATTTCCTGAGCTAGAATCTACAGATGTCCTTGCTCACGTGACACATCACAGCATGTTTCATATGTCCATGAACTGGGACCTGGAACATGTTGTAGGATATTTGTACACTGTGAGAAGATGGGTTTGCTGTGATTGGTGTAATAAAGAGCTGAGTGGCCAATAGCGAGAAAGGAAGAAGTTAGGTGGGATTTCTGGGGACAGAGGACTCTGGAAAGAAGAAAGGCAGAGTCACCAGACAGAGAGGAAACAGGAGGTGCAAGATGAAAGAAAAGTAAAAAGCCATGGGGCAAAACGCAGATTATATAAATGGGTTAATTTAACTTAGAAGAGCGAAGGGGACAAGCCTCAACTAAGGCCAAGCTTTCATAATTAATAAGCAGTCTCTGAGTCATTCTTTGGGAATTGGCTGGTAGGACAGCGAAAGACTCGTTACATATGGTATCCAACGTGGAGGCCCCGATATCCACTGGGCCTGAGAAAGCTAAGAAAACTTCAGGACAAGGGGCCGGGTGTGGGTTCCTAGTGCTGCAGTCTCTCAGGCAGGCAAATGCTCAGCGCCACACAGAGGTGAGCCATGCACCAAGCTGAGCATGTGGCAGCTGACGTGGCAGTTTAAGATTTGTACCATGTGGTCAGAGATGAGCGCTGCAGGCACTCAGTAAAGCCAGGACCAGACAGAGAAAACCTCTAAACAGGTAGAGAGCGCTTAAAAATGTGCTTAGATGCTAAAAGAAGAAAAGAAAATAGGTATAGACAGTCATAAAAAATAATTTAAAAATAATAAAGTCTTTAAAAAGAGAGTAACGTAATATAAAAAATAAGGCATATAAAGATGGAAAATGTAACACAGGGAGTTTGGACCCTATATCGTGCTTTGTTAATTTTGGATTTTTTGAATGTTAATGAACAGAGAACAAGAGCTGCTGAGAGACACTGGATTGTGGAAAGGACTGCTAGATTAAACCAGCCTGTACTCTTTAGGGGTGTCTTGGCTTCAAAATGGAAGTCAGACAATTGCTGGGCTGGGGAGAGGTTGTGCTTTTGTTTCCACAGGAAACTCAAAGCTATCGATTCCTTCAGTTAATTGAGATCAGATTTGACTCGGGGAGACCTCCTGAGGACCTTGGCAACAGACATGAGGGGGGAAAGCCAAGAAAGACTACAGGAGAGGTGACAGAGATGCTGATCCCTCGACATAGGAACAACTCTGAGACTGGATGAGACATGATACAGCTTGTTGGCTACAGAGTCCTCATGACTTATTATTACATGCCATCCTTACATATGGCGTGGATAAAGGTTTGGTTATACAGACATAAAGTTAACAGATGCCTTTACCTACTCAAACATAAAACAAAAATAATCTTTAGCTGACTTGTGCACACCACACATTCAATATTTGTGTTAATGCAAATATAAATGTTACCTTTAAAAATTTGTGTTTTCAGAAAAAAAGGACCAGACACCAATGAAAACGAGTAGCTCAGGCAATCTAGCCTTTCAAAATGCCTCTGTTGCAGTTTCCTCAAAGTTATGCATCCAGAACAACTTCAAAGCTGCTAGTGAGATGGTCTAACGTCACAGACTACTATCCAGCCAAGAAATCAGATTAAACTCTACACTTTCCCATCACACAGAGACTAAACAAAAAAATAATACAACTAGTTTCCCCAGAACTTGACCACTATCTCAATTTTCTTAGCATCCCCTAAAGATGCCGTTGCCCCCAAACATCAGGAAGCAATTTTAAGAATATGATGTACAAATTCCTAAGAGGTGGAGTTGGTCATTCGGTGGGCTATAGATGTTTGTCATTGTTTAGGGGGGTTGGTTGCAAATTGTTGCTGGTCATGGTAAGGGAGGACACTAAGCAAAGGACATTAGATCCAGGGATCTTGTTCTGAAAAGAAAAAAATGGGGATATAGGAGTGACAGGATAAAAAGGTAGATTATTGAATCTACTTTTAAATTAAAAAGTCAAATACTTGTCTCACATATTTAACACTAGAATTTTTGTATATTGATACAAATTTAAGGTTATTTTTGTTATACTGTATATATTTTTCTACTCTGGTATAAGGTAGTTTTATATATTGATACAAATTTAAGGTTATTTTTTGTTATTCTGTATACATGTTTCTATTCTTGTATAAGGTGATTTGTATATTAATACAAATTTAAGATTATTTTTGTTATACTGTATATATGTTTCTACTCTTGTTTAAGGCATTATGCCAATGCAGCTCATTTAATAATCTAATGTAAATTTCTAGTCCTTGAAAGTTATTATTACAAACTATATAAGATGATTAAATACACATTAGTGGGTAGTCATCTAACAATCAAATTCTTAGCCATGTTGGGCATGTTTTAAAGGTCAAACAAAGATATATTCTAGATAGATAGATGGTCTTCAAACACTTCAGAGATCTGCAGAATATGGCATCTAAGATGTTTTCATAACATAAGGCCTTTTCTTGACTGTGAGACACATCTGCTCCTGGCAGCACCAATTTACTTTTAGAAAGGATTGGGCAATGAAGAACCTCCACAAGGAGTTTGCTTTCATTTGTGGCAAAGTTAGCCACTGGGCAGAGAAACTGCCCTTGCCACGACTGCTGACAGATGCTGTCCAAACTGGACAGGCAGGACACAAAAGAAGATGACTGCCAAACTTTGCCAAGACAAGGTAGGACAGTCCTTCAAAATTCCTGCTTCACAGAAAAGTCCTTCAGATATCCTAAGCCTGTAGGCTGAAGATGGAGGCCCCAACATTACAGAGGAACCTTAGGTGACTGTCCAGGCAGCTAGCTGTTTCTGTCATTTCTACTTTTGGAAGTTGCTTGCTTTACACTTTCTATTTAATCAGGTAATATTATATCCTTCTTGGGTCTCTGATGGAGTTGAAGACAAGAAAGTTATGCTACAATTTTCTTTGTTACCAAATTCAGAAAAGAAAATTACATAAAAGATATAAAGTATATAAGGTTTAGAGACTAAAAGCTTAAATTGTTTATCTAAAAAAAATGTTTTGAGTTCTAAAAACATAGTGTTTTGGGTTGATAATACAAGTTAGGATAGAAAGTAAATTAGGTACAAAACTTGGGACTCACTAAGACAGGATAGATAATACAGTACTTTCTATGAATTTGCTAAATACAAATGGACTGGACATTGTGAATGTAATTCTTAGCTGATAATTGTCTTATTGTATATAATTTTACTGTGTTAGAGTTAAAACCTTTCCTTTTTATTTAGACAAAAGGGGAAATGTTGTAAGATATTTGTATACTGTGTGAAGATGTATTTGTTGTGATTGGTGTAATAAAGAGCCGAATGGCCAATAGCGAGAAAGGAAGAGGTTAGGCGGGACTTGTAGGGCCAGAGAGGACTATGGGAAGAAGAAAGGCAGAGTCACCAGACAGAGAGGAAACAGGAGGTGCAAGATGAAAGAAAGGTAAAAAGCTATGAGGCAAAATGCAGATTATATAAATGGGTTAATTTAAGTTATAAGAGTTAGTGGGACAAGCCTAAGCTAAGGCCAAGCTTCCATAATTAATAAGCAGTCTCTGTGTCGTTATTTGGAAGTTGGCTGGTGGGACAGAATAAGATTCATTACAGAAGACCCACAACTGGAACAGCCTGTCAGTAGGTCTGTGTGATGACTAATCCCACTGTCAACTTGTTGAGGTTCAGAATCACTTCAAGACAGGCTTCCTGGCATGCTGTGGGGACTGTCTGTTAGATTACTGAGATGGGAAGGCACAGGGGCTCTGAATGGCAGCATGTCCCGGGCTGTGGTCCTGGACTTCATGAAAAGAGACCGAGAGCTGAGCACCAGCTCCCTCTTCTCTGCTTCCTGACCACAGAGGCGACTTTCCTGCCACGAACGGTGAGACGAGATAAACCCTTTTCCCGGATACTGCTCTTATCGTTTTGTATTTGCCACCTGGTATTTTACCACAGCCACAGAGAAGACACCAAGTCTGCAGAACAACCATACACCACATCCAAGATGTAGGTTACAAACCCAAACGAGCTGTGAAAGAGTATGCACTGCACGTATCGACCAGACAGATCTATTTCTGCTCATGAATATGTAAAGACTCGTGAGAAACTGGGCTCTCTAGGTAGTACTGTGTGGTTAGGAGGAGAGGGAGAAGGGGTCATTCCTCACTGTGCCCTAGGACACTCTGGGATCTCCTAAAAATCAAAGAAAACAGATGAATATACAACTTATGTATGAGACAAAGCTTCCTGTTCCCAGAATCCCTTGCCTGCCTAATTCTACCTTACTTAATTCTATATGAAAAACCAACACTCTGGGACTGGTGGGATGGCTCAGTGGGTACAGGTGCTACTGCCAAGCCTGATGAGCTGAGCTCTTCTGGAATCCAGGAGATGGACGGAGAGAACGGACTTCTACTGTTTGTCCTCTGGCCTACACACACACACACACACACACACACACACACACGTCAACAACCACACACGTACATAAAAATAAATAAAATGTGATAAAAATTTTTAATTAGTGAAGCAAGCAGAGAAATTCTTTCTAGTTTCAGGAAGAGGGCTGTGGCCTTACCTTAAATATGATGACAATGGGTATATCTTCAGACAAAGTGTTGTGCCTCAGATAAAACCGTCCCTGCTTCACAGCCATGTTGGTTCTGCTTTTTTTCTCGTGAGTGGAGCTACGAGGAAACACAACCCAGTTACACTGCACCTGACCCAGGAGCTCCACCAGTGACTGTCCTTCGCCAGTCGGGTTCAGCTGCTCAACAAATAAAATCACCCTAATTAACGGGCTTTCAAAGACACACAACTTTCTGCACTTCTGTGAACACTTGAAAACACCACAGCTGTTTCTTGACGGTCCATTACGGGGAGCTGCTGTGATCAGTGACGGCTTCAGCCTTTGACCCAGGCTCCCTGCCCTGTCCCCTGTGTGCTGCTGGCTGGGTCTTGAGGAAAGGGCTCATGAGCAGGCTGGCCTTGAACTTGCTCCGTAAGGACGATCTCGAACCCCTGCTCCTTCTTGTGCCTCCGAAGTGCAAAGATCACAGTCACATGCCACAGTGCCCAGCTTTTAACTTCTTTCACTTTTATTCTACATGAATTACTTTGATCCAATGTAGGGCATATATTCATGACTGATTTTTCTTGAAGAGAAAAATCTCAAAATGGGCCAGCCCACATTCTAAGAAGAACTGGGTTTTAAAATTAGTAATACAAGTAAGTTCCCCACAGTTTCAGCACACAGTGAAACAAAAAGTTAACCTAATTTAGCTCCTTCTATCGGTGTGTCTGTTACAGGATTCCTAATAGACTATAAAACATTTCAAAAGCTCTTTTCAACCGTGACAGTAGCACATATTAAGTGCCTACTACGCTGATGCTGTGTGGCACATGAGTTCTAATCCCCACATGACAACACTTACTGAGCACCCCCTCTAAACCACATCCGAGCAAAGGGAGACTTCTAGAAGCTAAGTGATCACCCACTGCGTTGTCAGACAGAAAGATGACCTTCTGGATCCAAATCCAGAGTGCTTTGGCTCCAAAACTGTGTACAGTTCAAAGAGATGGATGCTGAGGACCTCTTACAATCAAGGTGACCTTGGGCTTAGTTATGAAATAGAAACAGTGTCATTTATCCTAAAGGAATGTGGTGACCATTAAAACACATAATATTCCAAACAAACTGATTGGTTCCTATTAGGTGAGCAGAAAGTGGCCTCTCCGTTGGAAAGAAGCCTGCAAACCCCTAGGCTAATGGGTCAGAAAGGCCACAGGAAGAGAAGCTCCTGCCCACTGATGTCTTCCCTGTGCTACAATCCTCCTGCTCTCACATCCTCACGTGTCAAACCACATGAGAATAAAAGCTGCGGAAGTCTACAGGGCACTGTGCTGCAGGTGACAGGCGTGCTGTGAAGGAATGAATCTGCACAGCTAACAACAGCATGCAGAGTCCACGGTACGATCCAGGCAATAACAGAGACAGCAGTCCTTGCTTACAAAAAGCCCGAAGAGGAGTGTGAAAACCTTCAGGAGTGCTTTTGTGTTTTTTCTCTAAAAGTTTCTTAATTTAAGGCTATAAATTAGTAAAGTACACAAATTAACTAGTGTCCTTCTTCCAAATGCCACCTTATGTTTCCAGCACTGAAATCAATATTGTGTTTATAGACTTACACAACAGGTGAGTTTTAAATACACTATCTTCTATTGAGAGAAATACTGTCCCCACCACAGGAGATTAGAATTTTGAAGAACACCGTCTGTCCCCCATACCTGGTGACTGAGGCTCCGACGGCCCCTTTCCTGTCTGCCTCCACGATGATCCTGTTCTTGGACAGCTGCTCTTGGATAAGAATGACTTTTTCGACTCCTTTAACAATGAAGTAGCCGCCTGCCCAAAGGAAACAAGAAAGCTCACCACCTCTCCTGCAGCCAGTGTGAGCAGGTGAGGTGGTCTCCAGAGTGCCAATACAGACTGGCCCTGAGCCTCCTGTGCCCACCTCTCCAGTGCCCAGACTGCAGTCCTGCCTATGATCATTTCTTCAGGCACCAGCAACCACTCACTTGAAGGGGCTGTGACACTGTGCTGTGAGCGGATGACAGTATCAGCACATGGCTTCACACAGAGGAACCAGAGCAGACACCCCTCCTGAAGACAGTGTGTCTGACGGGTCTGCTGCCCTGGAACCTAACCTGATGAGCTGCCTCCACCTTGTCGGCCTGGTGGGCATGTCTATGGCCGGTGTCTGGATTGCTAATTGATGTAAGAGGGTCTACCCCACCATTCCCTCCCTAGACAGATGGGCCTGAGCCATAAGAGATGTGTCCCTCATGGCTTCTGCCTCAGTTCCTGCTTGAGCTCCTGAACTAACTCCTCTCAATGAGAGATTATGACCTGGAAGAGAAGCTAAGTAAATCTCTCTTCTAGCTGCTTTGGTCATAGTGTTTATCACAGCTACAGGAAAGAAGACAGAAATTAGACCAGAAGTGGGTGTTTCTGTGGTGGATCTGGCCATGTTGGTTTGAGGAGGACTATGGGAAACATCTGGAGCTTGGGGCTAGAAAAGCCACTGAGTGCTCAGAGAATAACAGGCTGTTCCGTGGAAACCTGGAAGGTAAGAATACTGAAAAGGCAGACGGTGGGCCTGGCTTGTAGACCCAGAGGGAAGCAAACGTTCATTAGGGCTGATTGTGTGGTATTTAAGATTCCTTTAGGAATCTGTGGGAGTGAACCCTTCTGTTTTACTGAGACAGTGAGGCTGGCCCTGGGAAGAAGAAACAGCTGTAATTAATGAGAGACCGACGTCAGTGACGAGAGATCTTCTGGGAGGTGTGTCCTCAGTGTAAGCACACAGAAGCTGTGGTCCAGAAGGGCTGGGCTGCATCCTGAGCTGGCAGCAGAACGTGACAATGTTAAGAGTCTTCTATGTGGTAGTGGCTTGGCAGCGTCAAAGCTGCAGGACTGAAGGAGTCACGGAGAGAAGCTGAGGCCCTGGCATTGCGCGGAAGAGTTCAAGTCCCAAAGAGGGCCCAGGAGAGGCCACTGGTGAAAGTGAAGCCTCAGCTGAAGGGGAGACTCAAGGTGCTGGAGATGCCTGGATCATTGGAAGTCCACCAAGGACAGTGGCAGGTGTGCAGTAGAGCTGGTCTGTACTTTGTGACAAGCCACGTGTGCTGCAGATGGCAGAGCCAGAGCAAGGGGATGAGTTCCGGCCAGGCCAGGTGCACACCTTTAATCCCAACACTTGGGAGGCAGAGCCAGGTGGATCTCTGTGAGTTCAAGGCCAGCCTGGGCTACAGAGTAAGATCCAGGACAGGCACCAAATTACACCGAGGAACCCTGTCTCAAAAAAAGGATCATTAGTGCATCTCTGCATCTCAGATGTCAGACTTTTTACATTGTTAGATTTTGCTTTTGCTTTGATCTGATTACAACAGTGCCCTGTCCTCCTTCTTGGAATAAGGAAGTATATAGAGGTGCATTAAGAGACTTTGAATTTTTAAGGAGACATTGAACCTTTAAACACTGTAGTTTTTAAAGACTGTGGGGCTTTGAAGGTTGTACTGCATTTTGTATTATGATATTAACATGAGATATTGGGAACAAGCCAGAAGGAAAAACTGTGGTTCCACAGTGACGTGTCTGTGTGTCAAGCTGCCAAGGGGTGAGGTACTGGTTAATTTTGCTGTGGGAAGAGGGACCCTCAACTGAAGAACTGCCTTCGTCAGACCATCCCGCAGGCATGTCCAGGGGGCACTGTCTTGGTTGCTCACTGACGTGGGAAGGCTCAGCCCACATGGGCAGTACATTCCTCAGGCAGGTGGGCCTGGGCTGCATAAGAACAGGAGCCTGGGAGCAAGCCAGAAAGCAGCGTTCTTCCATGGGTTCTGCTTCAATTCCTGCTTGAGCTCCTCCCTGATGACCCTCAGTGACAGGCTGTGACCTGGAAGTGAAAGCCAAATAACCCCTTCCCCGCCAACCTTCTTTTGGTCAAGATGTGTACCATGGTAACAGAGAAACAATCTACAACATCCACATTTACCAAGCCAACAGGTATACCAGGCATATGAAACAAAAAATGTATTAAACAGATGGATCTTTAGATCTCTTAAGCACAGGTATAACCTGGGATCTTCAATGGAAACTGACACTTGCTCCAACTTCTCTAACAAATCAGGAACAATAGTAGACCATGATTAGGTTTATATTAAATAAATATATGTTTATACTGAATAAAAGTCATGGGCCATTATTAGATTTTTTTTCATATAATTCAGGAATCATACAGAATGAGATTTTGTCTTACTGCAAAATATAAGCAAAGCCGAGGAAACACACTTAACTTATGGAAACTTGCTTAGAGTCTAGCAAAGTAAGGTTCTTACTATTTCTTTCTAAAAGCAACCAGGTGAGGTGGCACAGGCCTGTAGCTCGGCCCTTGGGAGGAATAGGTAAGAGGATCAGGTGATCAAGGCCAGCCTGTGCTATATAGTAAGATACAGGCCAGCCTGTGCTACGTGAGACCATGTCTCCTTAAAAACAACCAAATAAGCAAACAAACAACAACAAATCCTCCTGGGTGCAAGGAGTTCCAGCAAAGCAACTATAAGTGAATTTAAAGGCATTTGGAGAAACTTTGTGTTCTGTTGTTTGAAATTCTTATCCAAAAATAGTTTAGAAATCAGCACAAAAATATAAATTTTAAGAGCTTAAACAACAGCAAAAATGTTTTCATTTTTCTCCTTTTTCTACATTTAACATAGACTAGTTATCTACTAGGGTCTTTTCAGTACAGCTTAGACAGTAACTTTGTGAGAGTCTCCAATTTCAAGTCTATCAAAAGAAACTACTGAACAAAGGCAGAAAGAAAGAACAAGCCCTGGCAATAAGTCAGAAGGTAAGCTACTAAAATTTTAAAGCTAACAAAGGAATCGCGTATTTTTAGAAATCTAGAATAAAGCTGGTGCCAAATCTTCAGAAGTTTATGAGCATGGTTTTCCAACCAGTTCATTAGAAGGCAGAAAGGCTACAGCAGAATAACAGGAAAAAGAACAGAGCGAGGAGAGGGGGAGGAGGGCACCCCAGTCATCACACATACCTGGGTCCAATGGACATTCGTTCAATTTGGCAAACTCCGCTGGAGTTTTCCCCGTCAGCACACAGTTTGAACTTCGCAGCATGATGGGCATTCTGTTTAAAGTAAAACAAAAGAAAGTTCTTATGCACAGATTGAGGTGTAAAAAAACGCAGTGAACACACGCAGAGGGGCCTCCACCTCTGGGTACCACATTAGAAGATGGTCAGAAGATGTTAGAGATCCCATGAGAGAGCCAAGGGAAACTCTACAACTGTGCTGGATAACGGAAATGGCACAGCTGAGGAGAGAATTACTAAATGGGAGAAATTATCAAGAATGTTGTTTTAGGAAGACTAGGAGGTGGACTCTATGAAGAAGAGTATAAGCACCACGTAAGAGCAAGACAGTCTAAAGCACACCTATTCAGACTTCTGGACCAACCTACTCCAAGGGGAAGAGGCCTTCACAGTACTATCTACACAGAATAAACAAAGGACCGCACCTGAACATGCACCACGGCAAAGTGGAAGAGAGGGTGTAAAACAGGAGCACAGGCAGATTACCAAAAGGAGAACTGAGGAGACTCACAGCACTGAACAGAGAAGGAACAACCCACATCTGGATGTTCTGTTAGTACCACATGGAGGTCATGGAGAGATGTTTCCAGATATGAACTTAAAAATAATAAGACCCTCACTAGTGAAATTTCTAGAAGAAAGTTTCCATCTTCAGAAGATGGAAAACAAACAGCAAACCAAAGTCTGACATGAAAAACTGTGCAAGGGGCTGGAGCGATGACTTGTGGTCCAGAGCACTGGCTGCTCTTCCGGAGGACTCTGCTTCAGGGTCCAGCACCCACATGATGCTCACAACCATCTCTAACTCCAGTTCTAGGGGACCTGATGCTGTCTTTTGCCCTCTTTCAGAACAAAGCACACATGTAGTACACATACATACATGTAAATAAAACACCTATACATGTAAAATAAAAGTAAATCTTTAAAAAAAGAAAACAAAAACAAATACACAGAAATATAATTAATGTTAACTTTATACAACAACGATTTTGAATTTATGGGTTAAAACACAAGACGAGAGGAACGTGGCATAACCCAAGTCAAGGATTTGACCCAAGTCAAAGCCCTCTGAGAGGTTACTCTTCCTAAAAGAAAAATAAAGATATTATACTCAAGATTTGTTAAGTTATGTGCTTAATTCTAAAGTAACACAGACAGAAATGATACACGTCCTTCAGAGCAGGTAGAAGAAAGAAAGGAGCTCTCCCATTAACCCAAAGTGGAGCGAGGAGAAAACAAAAATTCAGAGTTGGAAAGATTTCAAGTACAGAATGCACTGACAGAAATACTTGTGAATATATACTTCTATTCATGTAAACAGTGTGCGTGTGTGTGTGTGTGTGTGTGTGTGTGTGTGTGTGTGTGTGTGTAATGGATGTAAATGAGCTACATTCCCCCCAAAATTAAAAAAATCTAGGTACCTCAAGAAAACCAAAAGCATTTTAAATTAATAACTATTTCTACAGAAGACTCAACATATGTCCCTAATTAGGATAAGCACATTCCAAAAATCCTAGCTGACCCTACCCATTATATTTCAAACTTCTTCCATAACTACTGCCACACATAAGTAAATGTCTAGGGAAATTACGCACAGGATACAGCAAGAAGCCCAGTGCAGGAGAAGTCAATGAAATCCTAACTGACCTACTAAGCGCTCGCTGATGGTGTCAAGAGAAGAAAAAAGAAGCATTTTCCTCAGCTTTACAAAATGTTCTACAATTACTAGGAACCACAGCTCTGCCTGGCCCTTCATCTAAGGATCCAAAAAGTAATTCCATGAGATGGGTACTGCTTCCAGCACACTTCAGATGAGGGAGCCAGGCAAGAAGACTTATTAATTTGCTTAAGGTCGCATTATGAGGCTGATTTCCAGGCAGTGGCTCCAACAGCAACTTCACTTCTCACCTGCCAATGGGTAAGGCGTTGCGGATTATCCTCTGGCTGCCTCGGGTATACTCAATGTCCACTGTGATTGGGGCAGAGTACGTCATGTCCCTCAAACGGCACTGGAACAAAACCACAGTTATTGCTCCTCTTCCTCCAGCCCTCCCACTATGGTCCACACTAAACTCAACTTCCCTCAAGTCTACTTTCCCCAGGAAAGGGATGACATCATGTATTGGCCTACATATTGATACAGCATCCCTGGTCCTGCAGTCCAAAGATGGAACAATAATCCTAGGAGCACTTTTCTTCTCATCAACCTGGTACAAATGACTAGTTTGTTTCCACATCATTACAGCAATCCGATTGTTCCTTGCAAATCCATCCATAGAAACTAATTAATGAGGCCAGTTATACTGTTTAAAACTGTTAACAATCATAAAGGTAAGAAAAGTATGTGTGCATGCATGTGTGTGTAAACTATATCACAAATTACCTTACCAAGGGATCATTATACACAAACCATTCATCACACCACTCTACCAACTTTTGAATCACCAGGGGAATTTTAGAAATTGTTGGGACATGTGTTAGCTTGATGTGATAACAAGCTAAAGGATATCTTCGGCTAAGCCACAAGAAAGCACACGTAGACTCTCCAGTGCCTTCACATTATTATACTGACGGTTACGTGGTGGTTTATAGCTTCAAAAGAGAGTTTCTCTGAACATTAGCCACAGAATTCCTGGTGTTAAATCTCGTCTGTGGCTTCTACTGAAAGTCAGGTTTAAGTTTCTTTTAACTTTTACAACAATGTCCGAGATTTTAAACTTTAAGTTTTCTATCTATTCCTGACCAATAAAAATTGCTTATTTTGGGTTGAAGGAATGGCTTGGGGGTTAAGAGCACTGGCTGCTCTTCCAGAGGACCCAGTTTCAATTAAAACAATCTCAAGAATATACATTAAGAGCAGACTCTAGGTCAAAACGAACAAGTCCAAGTAAGGTAAGATGCACAGTACCTCATGGGGGGACACCGGTCTCGTTACATTGAAGCTTTCTTCAACATCAGGAAGTCCAACATAGATATTAAGATATCTGAAAAGCAATTTTATTTCATCAATTTATGTCTTTAAAGAACACACACAAGTGTCCATCAGTCTTTGAAAAGCACCTCCCTTACTGAGGATGACCAACAAAAGTGAGAACTGACATCTTCTTGAAGTAGTAGTTCATACATCTTTACAAAGAGAGGAAATGCTATCAAAGTATTTCTGCACTGTGTGTGTGTGTGTGTGTGTGTGTGTGTGTGTGTGTGTGTGTGAGAGAGAGAGAGAGAGAGAGAGAGAGAGGGGTACACATACGTGTGTGCACAGGTGCTCTGGAAACAAGACATTAATGCTGGGCTGCTGTTTCCATTGCTTTTCACCCTATGTATTTTTAAAGATTTATTGTTTAAAATACACTGTGTGCATGCATGGTACCTGCAGAAGCCGGAAGATGGCACTGGCTCCCTGGGAACTGGAGTTACACAGGGCTGTCAGCCACAGTGTGGGTGCTGGGAACTGAACCCAGGTCCTCTGCAAGTACAATCAGTGCTCTTAACTGCTGCGCCATCTCTCCAGCTCCTCTACCTTATTCTCTGAGACAGGGTCTTTCACTGAACATGAACTAACCCACTGTTACATTCAAGCTCTGTAACACGCCTGTCTTCATACCCTCAGTGCTGTGGTCAGATGTATATACTGCTGCACCCAGCTTTTACATGAGGGCCTGGGATCCAAATTCAGTACACTATCCACATAACAATTCCTCTGCTCTCCTTTAAAAGATAAAGCAGATAACACTTGCAAATAAAAATATATGGATAAAAGGGTTTACCGTGTAACTCACTGTGTCAGTTTCCATGACAAGACTGATTTTTTTTCTCTTAAATTTTATTTTATTTTGGAGGGGAGGTTGCAAAGGCAGAGGGTGAATACAAAGGGATGGGGAAATGAATGAGATAGAAATGCATGATGAGAAAGACACAAAGAATAAAAGGAAAAGAAAAGATAATGCAGGTTTCATTAGAAAAATACCAGAGCTGGTTCTATATAAGTAATGCCCAATTGAAACAGCAATGTGAGAGGCATTGCCTGTGCTGTGCGGGCATTCAAGTTTTTGTTGTATTAAATGAAAAGGAGGACTTAAGAGATGAAAATACATGTTCATCGGTGTAAAAGGAGGGAGGGTAATGGGAAACTAATGATGTTCTTAGCCACCAGAAGTGGTTAGAAACGGGGTGAAAAAAACTTGGAATGAAGCAACGACTTTTGAAGACTTTGTTTGCCAAAGGTCTAACTCTTCTAATGACAGTATTTTAATGCAGTCAAAAAGCACATGATTGAAATTAACCCTGAATCAAGTACAAACATGACTGAATTACCATGGAATAATGTAACTGCACTAGAACAGAAAGGAAGAACAGAATCCTTGGAAACAGCAGTTTGACTGCATCCTGTCAAGCTGACGACAGGAAGAATGGTGTACACCTGTCCTCCAGCTAGTGAACGCTCTGCCTGCAGACCTATCAGTGATCCTGAGGTTACTCTGTGTATAACACGAGGCTGAAATTTTAGAAAATTATAGATATATGAGCCACATTTCTCACTGTCAGGAAATAAGGAAAGGAAGACTGTTGGGATGAGTGGGTCCTGCTGGCTGAGAACCAGGGGCATCAGTCTGAAGTCTCTAATATAAACAAAATGGACAGGACATAGTAGATGTGTGCATGATTGTGTTGTTAGTACAGGTACACGTATTTGCTCATGCTGCCTGCCATAGTGCCCATATGTTGATCTACAAGTAGTACTCTACCTTCTCATAACAGAATAGGCACCTGATGGGGACACGGAAAGACAAACAAATACAAAGTATATCCTCTGGTTCCAGAAGGTACAGAAGTAGTTGAAATATCATGAGAGCACATTTTGAAAAGGCATGGAGTCAAGCTGAAGGACTTCCCTACGGCAAAGCTAGGAGAATATGAGCAAGAGAATAATAACAACAGAAAAAAAATATCTATGAGCCTAGACTCATATAAAGTAATATACAGAAAGGTACAATGAGGGCATGGGAATATTAAAAACAGAAGGGATAATGGAAGAGAGACTTAGAATTATCACATAGTAGTAACCATTATGGATAAGAATCAATGTACATTAAAATCAGTGTAGAACATTTGTTTCGAAAACACAAAGTTTAGGGTTCAATCCTAGGCACAGTAAATTTTTTTTTTGAAGAATTAAATAAAATTAGTGGTGGAAATATTGATATTTGCATTGTCTAAAGGATCTCCCCATAGGTACTTAACATAAAGAGAAAAGAGAGTATCTTTACAATGGAGAATTCTCAAAGGCAGGCACTATATTAACCAAGAAAACAGTGTTAAAATCACCAGCAATAAAAGATGTTGACAATTGTATCCTCTGACATGAATCATTAAAAATGGCACAAAACACCGTTAGGTGTTCTTGCTAAAATTGCGTAACTTACTCTAATGATGGTCAAGTACCAAATACTCAGAAGGGCCCGCTGCAAAATATGGTCAGACTGTTCAAAGTATCATGGCCAAGAGACACCAGGCAACACCGAGGACTGTCAGAATCCGGAGACTAAGAGACCAGACAAGGTCGAGGCTGGAGAGATGCCTTGGCAATGTAACAGCACTTGAAGAGGACCTAAAGTTGGGTCCCCTGCCCCACCCCAGGCAGCTCCAGGGGATCTGATGCCCTCTTCTGGCCTCCAAGGGCACTTGCACTCAGCTGTACACAAACACACACAGAAATAGTGGTGGACCTGGAACATCGGGAATCCATCTGAAGATTAGAAGCCCTCTTTCTAATCAAAGTCAAAATAAGTTCATCCCTGTTTTTTCTAAAACTTGGATTTGATCAGGTCTTGGCCCATTTCCTGGAATCTGACATGTTCTACACCTTATACTCTGATCCCCACCCTGATAAGATGTTATGTTAAATAATTCTGAAATGTTCAGCCAAGTTACTAAGTAACCAAAATTCATCTGGAAATCGCCCAACCCTTGAAAACCTCCCAGTCTTGCAGTTTTGGGGGCCATATGAACCCTACTTTCTCCGACGTTCGATGCTATTTTCTCAAACCCCACTTTAGGGAGACAGCCTCGTCTAACAGAAAATAAAGCTTGCATAATTCGACCAAAGAATTTGGGTAATGGTCTTTACTCTTGTTCAGTGAAATTAACAACTGAAAGATAGGCTAACATGGGGCCAGGGACTGATTCGGGTACAAGAAACAGGACATAAATGGGAAACACCAAGTCAGGCCTCAAGTTCAGCCAGCAGCACCCCAGCAATGTAACTTTATGTTCTGATGACTGCTGTCTGATCACATACAATGTAGCAACATATGCTGTGCAAAGAATACTGAGCACTTTTTCTGCTTTTAACAACTTTTCCATATCTAAAACTCATCAAAAGAAAAGCTTGCTTAGAAGAATTAAAACAGTTTTAGTAACTTTTCAATTAAAATTGTACTTATAATAATTTATAATTAAAAGCTAAATATGAGCACTTTATAACTAGTTTATTAAACAGATAAAATAATGGTTATATAAGAGATATGATAACTTTAGCATTTAGAAAACAGAACATTGTTGTTGGTTTTTTTTGTTTTTTAATTTTCCAGAGCTGAGGACCGAACCCAGGGCCCTGTGCTTGCTAGGCAAGCGCTCAGAACATTATTTAAGAGTAGCTGGTTTCTTACTTTAAGTACCACATGGGGTCAGCGTCGCTTGTAACCTTTTCATTGGCTTTCATTATCTTCTTAATCTGCAGTAGGAAGCACAAGGTTAGGGACAGAACTCTGACTTCCAACTGGTCCTCAATTTACGTCTAGTTTTCATCCTGGATGCTTACCTCTACATTAATGAAATAGTTAAAGGAGTCTATGTGCTGTTTCACAAGGCCTTTCACCTGAATGGAGAGAGAAGAGAGGATGGCGGTAAGGTGCAGGTTACAGAGTCACTCTGGCCACAGGTAACTGGCGATGTTTCCCAAATACAAGTAAGGGAAAGAATGATAAATGCATTTAGTTAGGAAAAAAATTAACAAGACCATCTAGTGACTTATTATGTGATAAATAACCAATTATCATTAAATGTCAAACAAATAATTACCTTTAAAAACGCTGGCAGCAGCCTCCATTTTTCCTGTGGATCAAACAACAAGAACATGAGAACTCTGTGGCAGTAACTACAAAACACAATTAGTTTGATGTACCAAGTTTATCACAGTACACAGGAAGAAGTAAACCAAAGGGCCAAGTTTTATAATATAAAATATTGTTCTCACAGGTTTCCCTACATATAACCTCTGCTTAATGACAAGATCCCAAATACTTTTCACATTTATTCTTACAGAACATCTTAAGTGAGGCCTGTAGTTTGTCTGAATGTGATAGGAGAATCAGAGTTACCAAGCTACCTCAAGGATTCTGGAGGGGTCAGCTCACATGGGTGTTTGCTCCTCCACTGAAAGACTCCTAAGTGTTTTAAGACTTGCCTTCCAGACCACTACAGACCATGACAGCCTCTTTCCACTTATCTCAGGGAAGGCCTATGGACACCCAGGGCTGTATGGCAAACATGGAGACTGGTTTTAACTTGGGAGACCTGAGTGGCACTACAAAGTTCTGACATGATAGTCTCCTGCATCTTAACTAGATCACTCTGGATGCTAGGTGCGGATGAGAGAGAGAGAGAGAGAGAGAGAGAGAGAGAGAGAGAGAGAGAGAGAGAGAGAGAGAGAGAGAGAGAGACAGAGAGAGACAGAGAGAGACAGAGAGAGAGAGAGAGATATCAAGAATTTCTAACATCTAGAAATGAGGATGTGGGGAGGCCCAGAAAGCAAGCAAGCCAGTCTTTGATAATAGAAAGCAAAAATGGTTTTTGGTTTGCTTTTGGGGGGTGGGGGAGGAGGGTTGAAAAGATTGTAAGAGAACCTTTTGGGGTGAAAAAATGTTCTAGAGCATATATTGGGTAACAGTTGTTTGGGTATCTGCAAGTATCAAAACCAAAGCAACCAACACTCAGTCTCTGTGCAACATTGTGTTACACTATACCTGATTAAACAGAAAAAGAACAAACAATTACAGGTTGAATGAAATTCCTGGGCTGACTTCTGGGTGACCTGGCCTACAGGACTGTGGAAGATGTAGACCAGTGCAGAAGACGTCAGTGGATGAACTCTAATCCAAGATGACTGCTGCCCACAGAACAAAGGGGAATTTGGACAGACACATTCAGGAACAGTGTCGTGTAAAGATGAAGACAGAGGTCACAGTGATACTTCTGCATGCAAAAGACACACTAAAGACTGTCCGTAAACCAGCAGCCACTAGGAAAGAGGCATGCAATGGAACTGTTCCCAGGCCCTGCTTTGAGCTTGATCTTGGACCTCCAGCCTTCAGAAATGTGAGAAATTAAACCTCTTTTTTATGCTCTTAAGTTGTGGTACTTGTTTCAACTAACTTTTTAATTTTCTGCTCCCACATTTCAAAATTCCCCCTGGGTGCCCAGTGAAATTCCTCCTGTCTCAAGGCAGGAGTCCACAGTCCATAGTGGAAAGCTCACTATCGGCCACAAACATAGACTTTCTGGTCTCCCCTAGAAAGATGGGAAACCCTCTTCCTTCATCACCCCACCTCCTGGATGTGTCCTCCATCACCCTCTCTACTGGCTATTTCTCTTAAAACTACTCAAACCTCTGAGCCAGGCATGGTGGCTCAGGTCTATAGCTCTAGCAATTAGGAGATGGAAGTAGAATCAGGAGTTCAGGATCAGCCTTGGCTATATAAATTCAAGTTTAGCCTGGGCTACATGAAACCCTGTCTCCACAAAGAAAAGTGGGAGAATGCATCAACAACAGTAACTCAGGGATGGTTACAGAGAGAAAGCATAGACTTGGTAGTGGAATTCTAAACATTATTATTATTCCATGAAATACTTTTAAATTTAGGAATGCACCGCCCATTGCACTTACTTAGGGTGTGGTGGTTGGAACAAGAATGGACTCAGAGCCTGGGTGGTGGCCCAAGCCTTTAATCCCAGCATCAGGAGGCAGAGGCCAGCCTGGTCTACAGAGTGAGTTCTAAGACAGCCAAAAGAATGGACCCAGAGGCTCCTATATTTGAATGCTTAGTCACCAGGGAGTGGAACTGTCTGAAAGTATGAGAAGGTTAGGAGGGGTGGCACTGTTGGAGGATATGCCACTGTAGGTGGCCTTTGAGATTTCAAAAGCCCATGCCAGGCCCAGTCTCTCTCCATCTGCCTGCATACAGACCAGGATGTAAAGCTATCAGTTACTTCTCCAGCACCATGCTCCCCATCATGACAGTGGACCAACTTCTGAATCTGCTAGCAAGCCCCTATTCAATACTTTCTTGCGGGGGGGTGTTTAGGCAGGGTTTCTCTGTGTAGTTTTGTACCTGTCCTGGAACTCACTCTGTAGACCAGGCTGGCCTCGACTCACAGAGGTCGGGATTAAAGGCGTGTGCCACCGCTGCCGCCCGGCCCCAATTCAATGCTTTCTAATAGAAGAGATGTCTCTGGTCATGGTGTCTCTTCATAGCAACAGATCAGTGACTAAACACAGGAAAAATCAAAATCTGCCCAGGGCTATCTCTCCAGCCTCTTCCCACCACTGCTTATTCATTCATTCTTTCTTTCTCTCTTTCTTTCTTTTTTTTTTTTTTTTTTTTTTTTTTTTTGGTTTTTCAGACAGGTTTCTCTGTGTAGCTTTGGAGTCTGTCCTGAAACTCACTCTGTAGCCCAGGTTGGCCTCGAACTCACAGAGATCCACCTGGCTCTGCCTCCCAAGTGCTGGGATTAAAGGCGTGTGCCACCACCGCCCAGCTATAAAAGAATTAAGATTTTTGTTTTGGGGGATTTTTGTTTTTGTTACAGGATGGATTTAATCATGGCAATAACTGCACTTCATCAGGCAGTTCATCGTGGAGCAATTATCCTTTAACTTTTGAGAATCTGATGAAAGAGCCATAGGGGCCCTTCAGAAAATAGAAGATCAAAAATTGGGGGAAATATCTAAGGTACTTAAAATACGTCTGCGGTCCTAAGAAACTCTGGGTTAAAAGGAACACGCCAACCAGCGCGGGATTCACTTTTACTTTTGGTACCAAAGCCGGCTGTGGGACCTCATGAACATCGCCAAGATGATACTGGTTCCCCGGGCAAGACACCGAGGGCCAGTTCTTGCCAGTGCACACCAGCACTAGAAAGGCTTCAGCCGAGAGCCACTCGCGGAGCTTCTAAACCAGACTCCTGTTCGTGCTGCCCCCCACACGCGAGATCCAGACCACGCAGACTCGCACGCGCGCAGCCGAGCATGCGCAGAAGCCGAGGGCCCGCCCCCGCCAGCACCAATGCGCTCCCGGCAACGCCTCCTCAGTCGCCTCTTCTGCTGCCCGCGCTCACAGCGCTTACCTCTACGGTCGGGATCGGCGCCGCCAGCTGCTCCGGGGTCAGGCTCCCGAACTCCTCCGCTAGCACGTCCATTCCACTCACGGCAAAGGAGGGAGTCGACAGAACGCTCACATCCGCCCGCGCTGCTCCAAGCCGACAGCACGCGGAGACGGGCGTGCGTCGTCCTAGAGTGTCCCCGCTGCGCTTGTTTACCGGAGGCGCTTCCGAAAGGTTCCGCCTGCTGGTCCGCTCCAACCTGCGGTAACCCGGAAGTGACCGAGCCGGATGTGAGAAACGGCGCCTCCTGGTGTAGTTCCCTGGTTTTCGCCTTGCTAATCCTAGACCCCCAACAGACAGATTTATTGCCAATTCCCCTTTCAGAGTTATTGAGCACAGCAAAATACAGTGTAACTAATCCGAAGAATTACTAAATGATAGTGGCCACAACATGAACCCCTGAAGCAGAGGACTCATTTAACTCAGTCAAAAACTGTGTTTTGCATAGTACAAAGAGCCACAACTGTTAACCTGTCTAGTAACAAGTGGGTGGTTAAATAATTGGTGGTACCTGCGTGTACTGGACAGTCATCAACCGCCTTCAGAATAACCATAATAGGGTGGAGAGAAATGCACTGTAGTGAGAATAAGTCCTAACAAGATAGTGTTATGAAACTCGGAGATGCAGATCTCAGATTAAAATACCCGCTCAAAAGTTTAGCATGAAAAGATTTACCCGTTTAAATGGGTAGGTGAATGGAGGGGAGGGGAGGAAGGACATGACTGCTCCTAGGTATGGTGGAGGAGAACGTTTATGGCAGCTAAAAGGGAGAGCATAACTGGAGGGATAGTCTAGAGTGGACATTCCCAGGAGCCATGTGAGGAGACAGAGGGGAGAGGGCGGGTTAAGCCAGCCATACCCTATACAAATAGACACGGAGGGAGGCTGAGAGAAGCTGGTGGCCAAGTCTGCTTTGATTTGTTAGATGTGCCTATTTTTCCCAGGATTTGAGACCTAACAGTAGGGAAAACCCAATAATTGATATTAGAATAGCAATAATTAGCAATTTGGGAGAAAAATATATCTAAACCCTATATAGATTAAATATTTCAATGTATGTTAACAAAACATTGGAAGAAAATGTAAGAGGTGGAGTTTGTAGAGTGCCTGCTAGCTGCATCAAGCCATGGGTTTGGTCCCCACCACAGCGAATAAACCTGGGATTGCACATCATGGTGGCACAGACCTATAAGCATTTAGGAGGTGGAGGTAGGAGGATCAGAAGAAGCTCAAGGGCATCATTGGCTACCTAGCAAGTTTGAGGCCAGCCTGGGCTACGTGAAACCCTGTCTCCAAAGAAGAGAGAATGTAATAATAACATTGACTTGGTGAAAGATTTCAAGGATGAAAACAGAGAAAGCATAAGATTTGCTAATAGAATTTTACAGTTTTATCATTCTATGAAAAAAAATTTAAATTTCAGAACACATTGCTAAAAAATCTCTGTGAATAGTTTAACACACAGAGTTAGTAGAAGAAAGGCAAAGGGATTTGCCTCTGTAATTTAAAAATGAGTTCATGCAAATCCAATGGGAAGAAAAAATCCCATGGGAAGAAAAATGTAAACGATGCCGACAGTTCCAGTTAAGGAAAATACAGAAGTTGTGGAGATGGATGGTGTCATATGTGAGTGTGCACAGTGCTTCTGAACTGTGTGCACCATTTAATAGTTGAAACCGTTATAAAGAAGTTCTTCAATTTTTTAAGAATAAGCTTTCTGATGTTTTTTCCCTCTGGCCCCAAGGTAGTTTCCTTACTGAGTTAGCTACTTAAATTTCAACACTTCGTTCTTCTAAACGTTGTACTGACAGACTTCTGAAAGTAGGTGAAGAAAGGAAAAAAGCATGCCACAAGAAGGCTCAGTAGGTTAAGGCCATGGCCACCAAGCTTGACAACCTGAGTTCATTCCACAGGACCCGCACTGTAGGAGAGAACAGCTCGAGAGGCGACCTCTGATCTTACTTGTATATAAGATAAATCACTTAAAAATAAGAACTATCAACCCCTACCCTTAAATTCTTAAAATTTACTCAGAGAAGCAAGATATACTTGAATGATCCTTGTGAATTAGTTACCAGAGAGCATCCTATTTAGAGTGTAGTCTGGAAGGGACTGTGAATGTGATTTATAGGTGGCAGAGGGTGGCCAGTTTGGCTCAGGTGTGTTGCCTCTCCAAAGTTGTCTTTGATTTCCACTGTGACAATGGTTCTTCTAGTTGTAGCATAGATCACAGTTACCTGGAGAGCTAAAAAAAAAAAAAGAAAGAAAGAAACCTCAGCTTTCTGATTGGTAGGCTGGAGCTGTAAACCTGCATCTCTGTCAGACTCCCTGCTACTGTAACCTAATGCCATAACCTCTGTACTTGCCCAGTTTTTCAGGCTGTGAGCGCCAGAGCAAGAATTGTCTTGCTTCCTAGGTTCTAGTGCATTGTTTGTTCCTTAATAAGTTTGTGTGGAATACATAATTTGAAAATGAAACCACAATAGGTAATAATAAATTTAACATTATATTCCTGTTTTTCACCCTGATTTTTTTTAAAGGTTTTTGTTGTTCTCTAGACAGAGTTTCTCTGTGTATCCCTGACAGTCCTGGAACTTGCTCTGTAGACCAGACTGGCCTTGAATTCACAGACATCTGTGGTGGTAATTGTGTTCCCCAAAATACTGTGTACCCTAATAAACTTATCTGGGGTCAGAGAACAGAAAAGCCACTAGATACTTAGGATAGGCAGTGGTAGCACACGCCTTTAATCATAGCATTCCAGAGGCAGAAATCCATCTGTTCAAGGAAACAGCCAAGCATGGTGACTCACACCTTTAATCCCAGGGAGTGATGGTAGAAAGCAAAAAGATATATAAGGCATGAGGACCAGAAACTAGAAGCATTTGACTGGTTAAGCTTTCAGGCTTTTGAGCAGAAGTTCAGCTGAGATTCATTCCGGATGAGGACTCAGAGGCTTCCAGTCTGAGGAAATAAGATCAGCTGAGGAACTGGCGAGATTCCTACTACAGAGATCCACCTGCCTCTGCCTCCCAAGTGCTGGGATTAAAGGCTTGCGCTGCTGCTGCTGCTGCTGCTGCTGCTGCTGCTGCTGCTGCTGCTGCTGCTGCTGCTGCTGCTCACCACCACCACCACCACCACCACCACCACCGGCTCACCCTGTTTTCTTTAAAGATGTATTTTTTATATACATTGGGGTTTTGCCTGCTTGTATGTCTGTGTGAGAATGCCAGATCCCCTGAAACAGTAGTTACAGACAGTTGTGAATTGCTGGATGTCACCCTGATTTTTTTTTAAGTTTCTCATTAAATATAGGAAACTTTGTTAGAAGTAAGTCTCAATCCTCCATGGCTGCAGTTGGTTGGCAGTGATGGTCTTGGCTATTAGATCACAATCCCTGTAAGCCTTTTTCATTAGACCTGTACCCCAGGTCAAATCCATGACTTCTTTCAGGTTTCTAGGAGGCTAGACTTTTGAAGCAAGGGGGGAAAAGTTTTATGCTACCACACCCTCTTACTGAGGTATTAGTCTAAAAGCCTGGTGACTTGTGTAGAGGTCTGGGAAATTCTAGAGGACAAGTGATTCGGATCCTGCAGTAATGCCCCATTCATTATATAGAGTGAATGAGGTGTGTGATAGCCAGATGAGCCATTGGCCAATGCCATGGGGCAAGAATGGCTGATTGAGGGGCATTAGTAATGGGAGAGGTGATTGGAATCCTGGGACACCAGGAAGAGTGTCCATCAGTTTGAACGTTGCTCCTTCACAGGCATTTGAATACCTTCTTTAAGTAGATTCTCTAAAGATCCACCCTTGGTGGTAAGTATGAGATCTCCACTTGACAAGCTAAGACAGTGATTAAGAAATTTGCCTGACTGCAGTTGGAATTTAAATCCATAATTACTCAAGTACCCATGCTTTTTGTGAGGTCTCAAACTCGAGTTTCTTTGACACCTAATGCTTTTAATTATGCAATCATAACATCAACCAGCAAAGGCATAAGGAGGCAGAAGACATTTTAACACAGAGCCAACAGGTAGGGCTCAGTACGAGAACATTTTTCTATGTTCTGGCAGTTAAATGTGGTACTTATGCAGGGCTTGCCAATGACAAGTCTGTTGGGTGACACCAGAAAGAGCCAGCAGGGCTGGGCCACTTCCCGGCCTTCGTGTCACGTTAAAGAACTTAGCTGTTTTCTGAGACTTTAGCAGAATGCACCCGAGTCCATTCTATCAGTACATTTCAGCTGCAGGAAAACACCTCCAGTGCTCTCGGTCCATGGATTGAGTCTCAAAGAGGCAGAGGAGGCCAGAAGCAGTGCTGGAGAGTGGAGGACCCTTCAGCCTGTCACCAGTGACGGGGAGAGCAGGGGCAGAAGTTGCTGCATACCCAGAACACGACTGAGCAGCTCAAAAGTCTTCACTCACCTCCATGCCCACAGTCCCTTCTCTGAAAAGCCCTGGTTTGTGGTATAGGACGTCATTCTCCCTCACCCAAAAGGTCAGGTTCCCCACAAAAACAGCCATCTAAGCTGGACATGAGGGAGAGGTTGAAACTAGCTTACCAGAGCTCTACCGAGTGCAGGAAGTGTGTCCAGACCTGGAAAAACTTTTCAGCTTGAAAAGACATTCATAGTAAACGTAAAATACAGCTTTTAAAAAGATTTAGAAGGAGCAAAATCGCCTCAGAGTTGTTGAATGTTAATTCCAAGGAAAAAAATGTAAGAATACCGGACTCGGAGCTTCACGGTTTCGGGCTCCTTGAGAAAACACCTAATTTTCCCTAACAGCTATTCAAGAAATTTTTGCTTAGAGCTCTATGGTAGTTCAATGGGAATTTCACCATCATCCTGAAGTGAAGCTTTTTGTAGAGCAAACTGAAAGTTCTGCTACAACAGAAGGGTTTGTCTGATTTATGGCACAGAGAAGCTGTTAGGAATTCAGGTAAAGGGACAGCCTCTAACTAGAAACCGTTTGTCAACAAGCCATCTTAAAATCCTCAAGAAAGCAAGAGAAAGCAGTCCATACACTGAACATTGCTTTAGAAGAAATACATGGGAAATTTAAAGAGTTCTTTGCCTTTTGAACAAACAGCCTGCAATGAGTGACTCCTTTGCAAATCTAATAAGGAGACAAGGAAACAGGCATTCAAAAAAAATGACTGCTTTATAGATGGGAAACAAACTTCAGAAAATCTGTCTTAAA